GGGGATTAATTGCTATGTCAAAATTTACGCGGATGCGATCAGTCCTCCATCGAACGATCTGCACGAAAAATATTCTGCTCCTCCATCATTCATTTGTATGAACAATCAACATGCAATGTACTCTGCTAAAGGAAGCAGCGCACCGTACGATGGCGAAACAAAGAAGGAACGTAACGCGTAAGTTTCAACTTTATTTTATTTTTTTCTCTCTTTTTTTTTAATATTGTGCAATATTATATATTTAATTTCCATTACATAGCATTTCGGTGGAGCGTCGCACGGTGCATCTATTAAGCAGACGTTACACTCTGACAGCCACTGTAGCCCGTGACTGTCAACAATTTTTGGAAAATCCAATTTGGAAAATCCAATTTGGAAATTGGAATCAACGTTGATCCACCGATCTACGTGGAGATCGCTTTGGGAGACAGGAACTGATACTGTCTCTCGAAACTGGAAGTGACTCTACGAGTTATGGAATATTTTTAAATTGCTGCGATTACAAAGACAATTTTATAAGCGTCGGATCATTAACCGTCAGAGTTTGCTTGATGAATTGACGTTACACTCGTACGCCTTGAATTTTTGAACGTAATCGTAACGATAGATTCGAAGTTACGCCGAATGTTTGACCTGGATGAATGTATCGATATGACGTTCGATCGACTCGTTAGATTCGTCGATACAATCGATGCTAAGTATTCGTGATTCTTTGACATCGCATCTGTTGTAACAGATCCCGAGGAAGTATCGAACGCGATACGCGATTGCGATATCTTCGACAGATGTCAACTCGTCGATTGCAAGCTGTTTAGCTTTAGTTGTTGCTTTAGTTTAGCTGTTAGCTTTAATTTTTAGTGTGTAAGAAAAAATGTGAATAAAAAAGTTTAACACTTAAGTCAAAATGTATTAAATTTGTTTAAAAATATAAACATATAATATACATAATATGTCTTTTATTTCTTTCCTCCCGCCATAAAAATAATTATTCGAAAAAAATAGTCATAAGATTCGTAATAAGAGAGAGCCACGACGGGAGAGAGAGAGAGAGAGAGAGAGAGAGAGAGAGAGAGAGAGAGAGAGAGAGAGAGTAGAGTAGAGATAAAAAAGAGACGAAGAAGAAGAAGAGAGAGAGAGAGACGGACGGACGGACCGACCGAACCGTACCCGTCCGTACCGTACCGTACTCGTTAACGTCCGGTATACTCCTATTACCCCCTTACCCCGTTTCGGTTCGTACGTTCCGGTTCCGTAGTACCGTCACGTCTAAACGTTAACGGTAAACCCGTTAACGGTTACGTTTCTTACCGTTTACTACCTACCTTAACTACGTATTACCTTTAACGTTTACGTTAACCGTTCGTTACGTGGTTGTTTACGGGTTTGGGTTAGGTTACTTACCGTACGTAACTTATTACGTACCGTACTACTTACTTTACTAGTAGTACTACTACTACGTTCGGTTACGGTTACGTAAGTAATAGTACGTAGTAACGGTAAAGTAACTATATACGAGAGTTAGTAGTAAGTTAAGTTAAGTAGTAATAAGTATTATATTATTAGTACAACAACTACTTACTTAACTAACACACACACACACACACACACACACACACACAACCCCCACCCCCCCACCACACACACACACAGGGTGTCCCAACTCTCGCATTTGAAATACGTGATTTTTTTATGCTATAAGAAACAACTTTTTCTTTTAGCAAAATTGCGTGCGCTGAGTAGTTTTTACAGTAAATCAAATTAAAAGTGACGAATGAGTGCGCGTATGTGCGTAGTGGTCAGGGCCGGCGCACGTTCTTCAGGCCTAGGACTTAATCTTTGATGACTTCACATATTGTATTATTTAAAATATAATACAAGTTAACAAAATAAGTATTTGTATTCATCCTTTACGTAACAATTCAATAAAAAAATTGTCTGATTTCGTAGCATTATCTTGAAATAAAAATAAATATAAATACTCTATGGTATATGAACTGAGCATTCTATTAATTTAATTACTGCACAATTGCATATAACAAAAAAATATACTGAATTTAACGAATTATTTAGATACTATTATAAAAAAAATCAATTTTTTTTACTTTTTGTAATTACGTACTCACGTAATAAATAAATATTCATTAAATTCAGTATTTTTTATTGTTTTTTTATTAAATCGTTAAAGGATGAAAACAATACTTATTTTGTTAACTTTTATCATATTTTAAACAATATAGTACGTGAAGTCGTCAAAGATTAAGTACCAGATTGCGCCGGCCTGAGAAACGCGCGCCAACCGCTATGCACATACGCATGCTCATTCGTCACTTTTAATCTGATCCACTGTAAAAACTATTCGTCGCACGCAATTTTGCTAAAGGAAAAAGTTGTTTCTTTTAGCATAAAGAATCACGTAATGTACTCCAAATGCGGGAGTTTTGGAACACCCTGTATAACTACGGAGCCGGTAACGGTTTTAACTGGCGTACACGGAATTACAGAGCCGGCGAGCGGCTATACTTGCGTAGACTTTCGCAACCGAAACACAAGAGATAAAACTTTACGTGGCGCGATAGACTGAAGACTTAAAGCCTGAGATTCTTTCTGAGCTGATTTTGCTGACCGTTTTAAGGTAAGAGAGCGAGTATCTTTCTTTTTCGGAGCAGTGTTCCGACAACGTAACTTTTCACCGAGCATGCGCTGTGATCATGTGTCATGTTCCAGCGCCGTTACTTCTGAGGATCGCCGCGCATGGTATATCGGGTGTCGCAAATATTCTTACAATAGTGAAAACGCTGGTTTATTTATAACTTATTTATTTAAATTAAGAAAAAGCTTTTCTGATGTATAATTTATATTATGGTCCAATTTCTTTAATATTAAATCGATAAATAAATAATTGAACTATATAAGCCAAGCAGATAACGGAGGCTAATGATATATTTGAAATTATCTTACTATATACAATAACTCTAAACAATATTTCGTTAATCTAATAAACAATAAACATGACGAATTAAAAACATATCTCATTTCGACCTTAAATGCGGTCTTCTTCAGTGTTTAAGATGAGTTATTCACGCAACGAAATTCACAATCTATCAAATTGACGGTCGCCTTACAGTTGTCTAATTAATAAAAAAATCATAGTTCTAACTGCTGTAGCAAAGTTCCGAGATGCATTCCATTTGAGCATTGTATATCTTCAGTAGGTGTGACCAGTATTAAAATGATCTGGATAATGTAAAGAAAATTATGTCTAAGGTTAAACTTAAGGATAAGAATCTAAGCAAGGGGTAGAATAATAATCAAACCGTTAAAAAACTAATGTGGTGTATCCAATTATAAAAATCGTGTGTAATTATTGAAATAAGTTAAAATTAAAGAAAAAAATGCAAATACATTTTGTATAAATTGTAAAATGTAAATTGTAAAATTTATGTAAATTGTAAAATATGAGGCTTGAAGTAAAGAGTGGTCATACCTGGTCAAGTGCAAATACAGGTTGAAACAGTTGTTAATAATGTGTGAGAGGTTGCAAGTTTCTCTTACGAGTGCGGTAGAACATGTAGACCGAAATCCAAGATGATTAATTGAGAAGGAGGAGAGAAGAAAGGGAGAGAGTGGAAAAGAAAACAAGGAGGTGGGGGAATAGAGTAAGGGTAGGAAAGAAAGGGAAAATATGGAAAGGAGGTAATTAAAAACAAGGGAGGGACTTAAGAATAGGAGATACATCTCAATGTCGCTCTGTTTGTTTAAGCTTTGTTCTTATTTTTTAAGGTGCGTCTATCTCACTGTGATGTAGTCTACAAAATTAATTGCAACGATTGTGAAGCTACTTATGTGAGTCAAACAAAAAGACAACTTAAGACAATGAGACTCCACGAACACAGAACAGATATCAACAAAAAAAGCGAGTCTCCATCTGTTGTCATGCACCGCATTTCTGAGAATCATACTTTCGATTGGGACAACGTTAAAATTTTGGATAATGAGTCTTGCTCCATGAAAAGACTTGTGTCAGAAATGTTGCACATCAAAAACAAAAACAATGTTTAAACAAAAACTTAAACAGAGCGGCACTGATTTACTTCCTGAGATGTATCTCCTTATTCTTAATTCTCTCCCTTGTTCTTAATTGCCTCCTTTCCATATTTTCCCTTTCTTTCCTATCCTTACTCTATTCCTCCACCTTCTTGTTTTTTTCCCTCTCTTCCTTTCTTTACTCCTTTTCAACTAATCATCTTGGATTTCGGTCCACATGTTCTACTGCATTCCTAAGAGAAACTTGCAACCTCTCACACATTATTAACAACTGTTTCAACCTGTATTTGCACCTGATCAGGTATGGCCTCTTTACTTCAAGTCTCATATTTTATAATTTACACAAATTTTACAATTTACATTTTACAATTTACACAAAATGTATTTGCATCTTTTTTCTTTAATTTTAACTTATTTCAATAATTACATACGATTTTTATAATTGGATACACCATTAGTTTTTAATGGCTTGATTATTATTCTATTTTCCCTTGCTTAGATTCTTATCCACATCCTTAAGTTTAACCTTAGACATAATTTTCTTTACATTATCCAGATCATTTTAATACTGGTCACACCTACTGAAGATATATAATGTTCAAATGGAATGCATTTCAGAACAGCAGTTAGAAGAAATTTGGTACAGTTAGAACTACGACTTTTTTATTAATTAGACAACTGTAAGGCGACCGCCAATTTTATAGATTGTGAATTTCGTTGCATGAATAACTCATCTTTTTAAACTGAAGAAGACCGCATTTAAGATCGAAACGAGGTATGTTTTTAATTCATCATGTTTATTGTTCGTTAGGTTAACGAAATATTGTTTAGAGTTATTGTATCTAATAGGATAATTTCAAATATATCATTAGCTTCCGTCATTTGGCTTGGCTTATATAACCCAATTATTTATTTACTATTTACTAATATACTAAATATATTTATTTAATATAATTATTTATTAATTATCGATTTATCATATCTTATATCGATTTATTATATTTATTATATCTTTTGAGCCTCTATTATAACTAATTATTTTTAATATTAGTCATAAATTTTTATATCATTTTATTTCGTTTTTTATTCTGCAAATAAAAAAATATACATAAATTATTTTACTTTTATTCAAAATCTAAATCATGAATTTCCTGTTTTAAGTACTTTTATGTTATATTTTTCTTTTTAATAAAGTTGTATAGTTGTATAGTTGCAAATCATAAAGCGAAGTCGTCCACTCTTAATACTCTTTCCGGTTTTATAACGGGTATCTAAATTAATAATAAAACTTGTGTTAATTATAAAATCATGTAATAAAATATTACAAATCTCATACATATAACATATTACATAATTTTATATTATAACATAAAGCCCTTCTTTGCCAAAATAATTATAGACACGATTATATATCATAACATTTCTTGCAATCTAATATTTCGAGTAAGGATAAGCAAAATATATTGTACTTTATGTTTAGTGTATTGAATTATCAATCGATATACTATGCTTTCTTTATTGACTGTCGCAGGATCATTATACATTATTTTTCATATATTATTATTCTTTAATATATGTAATTTTCATGTGAGAATACATATTAAGAAATAAAGATGTTTTAAACAAATGCTTTTTGTTTGATTGTATTTTCTATTTTCTACATATAATACTGCAAAAATACTTAAAAATAAAGATGTTCGCTAAGATATATATGACAATAGATATTTATTTATTCTCTAATACAGATATCAGAGATGAGGAAGAATGAAGAAAGAATAGATAATGAAAAATTTACTGCTGGAAAGGAAAGTGAGTCAGAAAATTAAAAAAAAAACTTTAAATTATATTATGTATAAAGATACATGTGATATATTAGAGGTATCAGAAATCTTTGAGAACAATAAAATCTCGAAGAAAATCTAAAATTATTAGAACTCAAGATGCCCTGAAAACAATTTCATACAGCAAGCGTTGCGATAAACATTTTATGAAATGAAGCAAAGACAATAGAGAACGCGTTAGAAAAGCCTAATAACAAAAAGCATTACGAAAAATGAATATAATTTGTAGTTTTTTTTTCTTTTCTTTTTTTTTGTTAAAAAAACCAACTAATACATGTATGTTTTTTAAACAAAACTTGCGATCATTTTGATTACCGGCCGTATATGCCTATAATTATATTCGTATATGCATATAACAGTTTTAATATTTTATAATCAGTCATAACAGTTTTAATATTTTTATAATTATTTGTTTTAAATAATAAATAACATGTTTTGCATTTTCAATGTTGCAGTTCAGAATTTAGATTATATCTATTTAAAACTCTAATTGTAAACGAAATATCGGATCTTGTATTTGCTAAGTTTATGGGACTATCTATTAATTCTTTATGTGATTTTTCTTTTATTTTTCTTTTTTTTATCAGAAGTGTTTATCTCTATTTCTTTTGATAACTTTATATTTGAAGTTAAAGGAGTAGACATAGATTTTACGCGCAAGTTTTTTTAAATTAGAATTAAGTTATTCTTAAGTTATAATTTATTTAAAATGAAAAATTAAAACTTGTAAGCGAAATATTGGTAAATTGAAAAAGATACAGATACAGGATTGATAAAAATGTCACAGGAAATTTATAACTGAAACAAACAAATGATTTGGAATGAGTTCATATAAATCTATGTCTACTCCTTTAACTTCAAACATAAAGTTATCAAAAGAAATGGAAATAAACACTTATGATAAAAAAAAAGAAAAATAAAAAAAAAATACACATAAAGAATTAATAGATAGCCCCATAAACTTAGCAAATACAAGACCCGATATTTCGTTTATAAGAGTTTTAAATAGATATAATCTAAATCCTGAACTGCAACATTGAAAATGCAAAACAAATGTTATTTATTATTTAAAACAAATGGCTGATTATAAAATATTAAAAAAAATGAGAAAACTGTTATATATGAATATAATTATATGCATATACGACCAGTAATCAAGATGCTCGTAAGTTTTGTTCAGAAAACGTACATGTATTAATTGGAAGTTTTTTTTAGAAAACAAATAAGTTGATTAATAACAAAAAAAAAAGAAAAGAAACAAAAACTGCAAATGCCAGTTGCGCTTTTAACAAGAGAAACAAAATATATAACTCTCTAAAGCTACAAGGAAGACATACATTTACATAGATTAATTAAGAAAATGTATAATGATTGATACAAAGAGATATAACACGAATATATATTAAGGATAATCAAAGTATAACTGTACTGAGTAAAGAAAATATGCTCTATTAAGGAAGCAAGCATATTGAAATAAAATGTTAATTTTTTAGAGATGCTCAAAATAAAAGTTTAATTTGTGTCAAATTTGTGTCAATAAAAATATAGCAGATATATTGACAAAACTTGTGATGAAGGATAGATATTTAAAAGTTGTATTTGTTGTATATATAGTAAATCATATATTCGGTTAATTTAAACACACACGACGCATGCACGCACACATACACACATACGCGCGCGCGCGCGTGTGTATGTGAAGAAACTATCACTCGAAATATTACATTGACAAAAAATATGATGATATAGCACATACATAATTATTTTGGAAATAAAAAATTTTATGTTATAAAATCAGTGATATAAATTATTGTAATCTGAATACTATGTTGTTTGCGTTCAAAACTCAATGTATTTTAGTTGACACAAAAATAGAATATTGATGATAAGTCAGTAACAATTAAGTAAGAGATCATTTGGTCCTTGGCGTCTAATAATCATTTTATTTTTGAATTACACACAAATTCAAGATAATTGCTTATATGTTATATCAATTACATGCTGTTGCTTTTAACGGACTTGAAATGTAGTAATTTATTCATTATTATGCTTTAATAGTAAAATTAGACACTTACTAAAATGATAATTTTTTAATAATTTCTTATGAAGAGAAAGATATAATTAATTATCTATTATTAGTTAATCAATATAATTAATATAATTAATTTGATCATCGATTTATAAAAAAAAGATTTAGCTTTAACTGAACCATTACTTTTTAATTTGTTAATAAAAATAATGATAATTAGTGATATAAGCCATTATGAATTTATATAAATTCAAAAATAAAGAAATTATAAGAGAAATCCTGTTTACCAAGTATTATCAATATTCTATTCGCATGTTAAATGTATATTCAATTTATACAATGCAAAATTTCTTAAATAAGAAAATGAATAAAATTATCTTAAAAATAAAATAAACTAATTTCATAAAATATATTGTAGACAAAGTTGCCTTGTTTTGATATATTTAATATGGTCAAATTATAATTTATGTGATCTTGAATATTTTTGTTAAAGTCAAGATCACTTTAAACTTTTTTAATAGAAACTATATTCTTTTTCCTTGTAGCTGATGCTAAGACATCTTCAAAATAGTATAATTAAATCCTTAAAAACTTTCCGACTTATAAGCTTTTAAAATTACGGTAACATTGTTTAAGATCACGTGAAAATAAAGATCGCAATTCAATTCATATCTCTGTCTTTTTTCTGTATACATATCTGTATATAAATCTTTTCTACTTTGGACAATAGTTTAATTGCAAGGTATGTTTGGTTTTTCTTAAATCTTAATGCTAATTAAACACGCTTACATATGTATTCACATATACAGATATATATTAAAAAATTTATGTTTAAATTATGCTTTACAAATTTTTATCTTCATGTGAATACTTCAAATAATATCACTTTGAATAATATATACTTTATATAATATCAACATTACAATAATTTAAAAGCTCAAAAGTCAGAAAGTTTTTAACACAAGAGACTTTATTTATACTATTTTATAAAATAAAATTTTTATAAAAATCTCTTGTCAGTTACAAAGGTATGCAATAAAAAAATGTTAATATCCATTAAAAAAGATAATTATACATATCTCAGATATACTTTTTATAAAAAAAAATATATCAAATATTATATTACAAAATATTTACCTTTTTAAATTTTTTTCCGCAGGTTATATCTTTTCGTAATATCTCATTCGTAAATGTTTGATCCAAATATCTTTCACACCAATTATCTCCCTGTATATTATAGACATTAGATTTTTCAAAAATTAGTAGAAAAACGGTGCAATAGAAAAATAGGAAAAATTTAAAAAATATCAATTGGTTGTAACAGAGTAAATAGTTACCATATCGTGAAATTTAAAAAATGAAAGTTAGAAATTGTGAAAGTTAGAAATTGTATTTTGAGAAACTTTCAATGTCGATTAAGATAATTAATTTTCCAATGACAAATGATAAAGTCTGTAAAATTGATAGATAGAGAGTTTTAGGAATTATACAGAATATAACAGTTGACGTAGCTTAAGATGATGTTGAAGAAACGAGCAAACTCCAAAGAAAGTGTTCACATATATGCAAATCTATGCATATCTTAATATACATAGATATATTTATATATATACTCACACATACATTTCTGTATATAAATTTTCATGTCGACTTTTTATATCACATTAGGTATTTAAATGTAATTCTAAGAACTCGAATGTTACCATTCAATGTTAACATTCTACGAATGTTATTTCTTCATGTAATTCTGTCTTTCTAGTTTAGCAATAGTTTTGTAGGTATAACAGAATTGTTACACCTACATATTAATGCGACTTGACAATTCTGGATGCCATATTAAAATAACAAATGGATCTAAAATAGATCTAAATTAAAACGAATTTTCTCATTCTTGTTTCATATGTTAAATACATGTTGTATGTATTAATGCATAAAGTTTAATTGTTGAAAAAGATTTTCAAAAAATTAATACAAAAATAAACCGATACAAAAATTGATTCCCTTATTTATTTCGCTTAAGATGATGCTGAACAGATGAGCGAATTGCGACGGGAGCATTCACATATATTCATATCTATGCATATATAGATACATTTATATATACGTACGAACACTTATGTATACATATATTTCTGCATGCACATGAATCTAACCTCCTAAACTTCGTATAAATGATAGTGTACCAGCAGATAGTACTCCTCTATTTATTTCTCCTATAAGCTTCCAAATCATGTTTTGGAGGTCTTAAAATATTCTTATACATTGAATAAATATGGATGAATAGATTCTGTTTGAACACACACTTAATATTATTTATATCAAGTCGTTATCTGCCATTGAAAAATTAATCATCCCATTCAATTGGCATTAAAATTTCTCAAAATAGATTTCATTTTAATTTTTAAATATCTCAATATAATTATCTTTATGTTACAAGCATTAAAATTCCTTAAATTTTTCCTTATTTTTCTATTATATCATTTTTTCTTTTGATTGAATATATTACAATAGTTATAGTATTAATAATTATAACTTACAGTTAACTTTACCGTTTTTTTAAGTTTTCTTTTTCTATTTATTCCATTTTTTGTATTTTGTTTTCGTTTGTTCTTTTATCTTCCCAATTTTTTTTAGAATTGTAGATTGGATTTAATTTTGTTTTTTCAATAAATTCTGCAATTTAAGACTAGAGCAATTCTTTTCTAATATATTAATCTCTTTTTCTTGCTTTACATAAATTTCACTGTCATTAATTTCTATTCTAGGTATGCTAATTTGCGAAATAATATATTTAGAGTTTTCCTGTCTTGCATTTGCAAATTTATCATTATTATCTTTTTCAATAATTATATTTTTTGGTTCAATAGTAGTCTTCTCAAAAATTAAATTATTTTCTTCATTTATAAGCATATTTTCAAATATTAGCTTATTTTCTAATTCAACAATTTGTTGTTTCTTTTCTGTGGCAGTGTTTATAATATAATCTTTGATAAATTCAGAAGTCTCAGAAATAATTTGATCTTGTTTATTATTCTTACTAGAAAAAGTATTGTTTATATCTTTTTCTAAAATATAGCAATTGGGAATAATTTGAAACTGTTTATTAGCATTATTATCAGAAATATTTCTTTCTTCACTTTTACTAGAAAAATATATATTTTTAAAAATATCGTTGTTTGGATTTTTTGCTGTATTACTTCTGCTAGAATTAAAAACATATCTTTGTTCATTTTCGTTAAAAAAATGGGCTTTTTTTAAAAATATTCTCATTATTCTTTGAATTGCAAACTATGGTACTTATTTTGTATTTGATTTCTCTATTATTTTGCATATTCTTCATTTCAATATTCTTTTTACTTGAATTAAACATATACTTTTGTTCGTCTTCATTAAAAATATAGGCACTTTTCAAAATATTCCTTTCGATTTCGAAATCATAAGAAATTATTTTGTGTCTGATTTCTTCATTATCAATATTCTGTGTCACATTGTTCTTATTGACGTCAAAGATATATCTTTTGTAATTCTCAACAAAACTGTGAATTTTTTTCGAAAAATTCTCATTTTGAATCTCACAAGTATCAGGAATTATTTGTTTTTTAATTTGTTTTTTATTAATGTTAACATCTTGTGTATTTTCACTTATTATGATATCAGAGGGAGAAAATGTTTGAACCTTTAATTTTAAGAATGAGATGAAGTCAAATTTTGGATTGCAATATATTTCCATAGTACAATATAAAACCGCAAGTGGAATTTCAGTGTCAGAAATCATTCTACGTTTGACAGCTTTCAGCTTATCACCTATAAAAATAATTTATGCTAGATATTATTCTATTTATTACTTTTAGTTTCAATAAATAATTTACAAATACTTACAAATGATCGAATAATCAGTTGTAACATCTTGTGTAAGTTGTAAAGAATCATTGATAGGCTGTTGTATAACAATAGCATTTTTTGCAATAAGATCTTGAGGAGTTAAAGGTCTTTTTGTAGGATACACACATGATTTACCACCTGAAATACATTTTCGATATAAATTTCAAATATATAAAAATTAATATAAACAAATGCTGTAATAATATAAAGTTATAAAAATTAAAAAGGATTTAAATAAAATTTTAATATAAAAGTACATATCAAGTACATATTTTGAAAATGTAAAATAAGCCACCTAACATGATCACTTTTAATGACTTTAACTTTAATTATAAAAAATTTTTAATTAAATATTGCATGATACTAAGGGGAACATATAGTATAGTAATTATTTTCACTATTTTGTTATTTTTATCACGATATAAAAATAATTTTGAGTTCTTTTTTAATGAAATAATCAGCAGTATTTAATGTTTGTTTCAATTTCAGAGGTAAATCTTACATGTTTTGTTTAAAAAACTCAAAATAATCTTTATACTTCGATAAAAAAAAAAGGATAATGAAAAACTGATTATGGGACTATGTCCCCATTAATCACGTGCAATTTGCGTTTAAAAAATTTTTTCGTACAATGAACAGTTTATTTTAATAATTTTAAAAATGGTCAAATTACACAACCTATTCTATATATATATATATATATATATATATAATAATAAAACTAAGTTAAACAATACAGCTATATTTATTTCTTTTAATTTTCTTTTTTCCCTAATATATTTATATATTATTATATTATTACGCAAAAATTTTATTTACATGAATTAAAATAAAAGCTATTAACCACCTGCAGCAATAATTAATGGCGCGTATACAAAATATTGCTTTGCACAGAAATGCACAAATAACAAGCCTTTTAACAGCTTTGTACGTTTCTCATTTGGCAAAAACAAACGTGAATAAACTTTCAACCATTCTTCTTTTACTCTTGGCAGAAAATCTTCAATTTTTGGTAATTCTTTGGATTCCTTAACAGCTGTATTTACTGCTTCCCAATACGCAATTGTGACTATAGGTTTGGCTGAGGCCAATGCACAAGCTAACTGTAATATAAGATATATAGTAGAAATACAAATTAATATAGAAATGTCCTTTTTTCTAATCATTTATACATTCTTATTACACAATTTTTTGTAATATTATCCTATGTTAAATATAAGATACAAAAGATGATATAAGATATAGAGTACAATATGATAAGATATAAAGTTATAAAATTGAAGAGTGATTAAATAAATATTTAAACATGATTATAACATTTGAAGCTATTAAAGACATACTATAATAATCAATAATTCTTGATTAATAATTAGCAAATCTGTATGTAATTAATTGTAATATAAATTGTAATCATCTTATTAATTGTAATCAATCTTGTTTTTAATATAAATCACTTTTACAAAAATTATAAAAATTCTTTTACTGGTTACAAAAATTTACTAATATTTTTCTAATTGAAAAGTATAGAAAAAGTATATAAAATAAAATTAAAAATATTTAAATATTCATTGCTTATGATTTATCACATAAGTCAATTCCAGTTAGCAATATACGTTCAGTGTTTATATCTCTTACTTTCATGAAATTAAAGGAAAATAAGAATCTAGCTATTAGCTTAATCCATTCTGTGACAATAAATGTGTTAAAATGTTAATATTTAAAAATTTAAATTAAATCTAAATAAATTAAATAATTCATATAAAATTATATATATCCTACTTTTGTGGTAAATAATGTGCTCTCAGCCACTGTCAAATGTGTACAAAAATTCTCCCAAGTTTCAGACAATTTTATTTTTAAATAATCTGCAATATGCTTTAATTTCTTCATTTCTTCTTCATCTAAATTGGACTTTGCAATCACAAATGAATAACATAATACTCTGCAATAAAAAATTTATTATATAAATTTATTAAAAAATAAAATTAAAATAATTTCATAAAAATAAAATAAAATTACATATTATCTAATAAACATTTTTTTGTAATTGTTTATTAAAAAAATTAATGTAAAAATAATTTATACAAAAAACTAAATTACACAATCTTACACAAAAATAGATTCCTTTAGACCAAATTGTACTATATCACCATTCTTCAAAATAAACTCATCATTAGGAGGTAATTTTTTCTTTTCCTTATTCCTTGTAACAAACGTTCCATATTTAGATACATCACTGATAACACATTTATATTCTATCTAAAAAAGATATATATTTAATATAACAATTTTAAAATATATTAAATATACTAAAAATTAACGAAACTGTACCTTTGATTTTTCTGTTATTTCTATGGAAACTATTGAGTGAAGTTTACTAACTGTGATATCTCCTTCCAATTTAATATCACTTTGTATTGTACCAAATGACTTTTTTTGATTTGGTAAAATATAAATACAAAGATCTGAAAAAAATATATATGTAATTTTCAATTTCAATTCTGTAGAATTTATCATATATTAATTTAAAAATTAATAAAAAAATTATATTAATGATAATAATGATCTTTAAATCATACGTACTGCATGTACCCCACCCACCTATCCACACACATACACATACAACATACACACACATACATACATATCACATACCACATACACACATATCACACATATCACACACACATCACACATACCATATATACACACCACATATATACCACACACACACCACATACCACATACACACACATATCACATATATCACACACACATCACACATACCATATACACACACCACACACATACCACACACACACTACACATATACCACACACACGCATACACATACCACACACACACACACACACACACACACATACCACACACACACATACACCATACACACACACACACACACACACACACCACTACACACACACACACACACACACACACACACAAAGATCCATATTCTCAATTTTCTTTTATCAATAAAAATACCTTTAAAAATGATTTATAAATCTTCTAGTTGGCTATAGTCATTTTTAGAGACACTTATCGATAGAAGAGAATTTAGAATACAGGGATTATAAATTTTAGATCTAAAATTTTATTATACTTTTGATACCTTCTCGCCCTTTAAAACACCACATGTTAAATTTAAGTTACATAAAAAAAAATAGTGTAATATTTTAGTTTCATCACTTTCATAAAATGTTTTGTTTCAAAACAACTCTATTCAACTTCGATTACAGATGACTACAGATAAAGGCTGTTTTCCAACAAGATACAGATGATACAGTGGCTGTGTTCTAAAATTGATTGTCAGCGCTGGAAGCACAGAATAAGTAGATACAGTAGGTTCACTCTATGTCGGCGCCTTTGATCTGGGGGTCAATCATATAACTTTACGTGAAATTTTTCACTTTTCGTTTTTCATTTTTTACTTTCCATTTTTCAACCTTGATATTTCAACGTGAAACTTTTCACGTACAGCGATTATGTATATAGCTTGGATGCATGGAAAGTGAAATCATGAAATAGTAGTTTCATAGGTTTTATAGCTAATGAAAATTATTTTATTGATACAGTATTATATACATTTTTTAATAACCAATATGTACTACGTACACTTAATCCTAACGCAGCCCTAATCTTCTCTAATTCCGAAACATATTTATTAATTCCCTAGATTTCCGCCTTTCCGCCACCAAAGTACATCATCGTAAGTTCACGTGAAACTTTTCACTTTTCACGTTTCTGCCCTAGGGGAAAAATTATATGATCGATCACGTAAGTTTTCTCCTAGAACGAATCAGTAAGAAGTGACGAGTCTCATGTGGATTTCATCATTTTGTGATCACGTTTTAATTTCGATGAAAGTATAGAGATATATTTAGCGTGAACTTTTCATCATCAGCTATCATAGTTAAACGGTGAAAATCTAGTGTTTCTTAATCTACACGGCATATTAATTGGTAAAATGGTCGCAGTTTTTTGGGATTTAAATCTGGCAATAGAAGATTTTAATTTTAATTTTTATTGTGTAAGCATATTTTAAATACACTGTTCGTACCTGCGAATACATCGAAGAAAGCAAGAATCGAAAGCGATAGTCGCGATACAAATTCCGATTATCGAAGTACGCTCAAAGATGCGCGCGACGCTTCAAAATGAGTGCTTTCCATTTAGTAATTCAAGTCGACACAAGTCTAGTGATATCATCATTTGTGCTTTCCATTTGATTTGTGTCGCTATATGTCATTGACTCAAGTCGACTTTTGCTAACTCTGCTTTTGCGAAGAGTTACGGTGTGTGACATATAGTTTTACCAATATCAAAAAACAAACTTATCATTATTTAATCATATATGTATATATTCTGGTATTGATGGTAAGAAGTGAGGTTAATAACTCAACTCACAAAAATTAAGAGATATGATTCATGTCAACGCTATTTCTTTTATATATACGGATTTATACAGATTTTTTTTATACGGTAATAATTACACGTAAGTAAGATGATCAATTTTATTTCAATAAGTTATAAATTGATAATCTAAAATTTCTTTTGCATATTAGATTATATAATGAATAAAACTGGAAATATGTTGATTAATAATTTTGTTGATTCTGAATATATACCGATATCAGATGTAAATATTTTACAAGAAAGAAATATAAATAAAGAAAGAGAGAAATTGATTTAATTTCTCATGAAGAATTTCAATGGAAAGACAAGCTTGTATGGAACAAACAAACTATTTTTGCACTATTATCTGCTTATGAAGCTCATGATATTGAAACTGATAATACCAAAAAAAATAAAAAGTTTTGGCAATCAATTGCAGAAGATCTGAATGGATTATGTTTATTTGAAGTTTCAGTAAATATTTTATTATATTTATTAATATTTATTAACCTAATCTATAAATATATTTTTATAATTAAATTAAATCTGCGCGCGCGCGCGCGCGCGTGCGTGTGTGTGTGTGTGTGTGTGTGTGTAGTA